CCGGTGATCGCTCCGCCGCCAGCCACGGCGGCGCCAGTTGCAGGAGGGTTTGTGGTGGATAACATGGGGAATTGTCAGTTTCCGATGGCCATGCAGAATGGACCCCTCATGGGATTTGGAAATGGGGTTGTGGCTATTGCTGGGAGTGGGAGCGGGAGTGGTGGTAGTGGCAGAGGGAAGAGGAGGTCAACTGTTGAAGAGTTGCCGCTTGATAAAGCTACACAGCAGAAGCAGAGACGCATGATCAAGAACAGAGAGTCTGCTGCTAGATCTAGAGAGCGAAAGCAGGTCCCTTTTTTGCTTTTAATACCCTATTTTATTTGTTTTCTGGCCACTTTGGGGCAAGAATTGAGACATGCATGTATGTTTTCACTGAAATTGCAGGCGTATACTGTGGAATTGGAGTCTTTGGTTACTCAATTGGAGGAGGAAAATGCAAGGCTTTTGAAAGAAGAGGTTAGTTTATTAAGGTCTTCTAGAATGAGATAATTATCTTGTTTTTTACTAGAGAAACTTTGCTTGTTGTCGGTCACCAGTAACAAAAATCATCTGTTTTGTAACGCCTCGTTGGGCCAGCTCTCTGTTCACTTCATTTTTTGGTTAAAGCTTTTAGCTTTATGAGTTCCAGATTCACTGCTCTGTAGCCTCACTTTTTTCAGCATGCCCAATAAATGCTGTTCGATCTCTGTGTACTTGGAGCATGTAAAATTAAGATTGTTTAGGATGATATGTTCTAAGAAATTTCTAAATGAACCCATTCTTTGGCTGAATGCAGGCCGAGAAGAATAAGGAGAGACTTAAGCAGGTATGACTTTCACTCTTTTGCTCTTTAATATACCACTTTGGTAATGAAACTTTAGCATGCATTAGAGTGAAATTCTTGTTGTATCTCAGTCAATTCCGAATTGGTTTCTGTGTTCTTTTATCCAATGAATGCAGGCATGCTTCTAGTCTTGCTGTGTCTTGTTGCTTGCAGTACCCTTAGTACTGCTTTCTATTTTCTCTGGATGAGCTGAGCTCTGTATTTCTCCGCCTCTTTTGTAACATTGACTCTGTTCATTTCTTATGCGGACTATTTCTTGTGGCATTATTGCTTGATGCTAGTCATGCTCTTGTGCTCCCATCGAGGAATTTAACAGATTACCTGTGCACATTGAACTCAAAAGTTATCTGTACCGCACTATTTTAAGGTTGAGGATTCAGGTAACGGTCAAGCAGGTCATGAATGACTAGCTCTTCATGCGGAAGTCCTTTATGCAACATTGACAAATGATTCACATGACTCCTTGTAGATCTTCTGTTCTCCGACTGTAGAGTTATCCATGAGCAATATAGATTTTTGAAACAGAAAATCAAGCACATCGTGATTGGACACATATGTTGGTATATATTTCTGCAATGATCTGCATTTTAGTCGTGATCAACTCCTTCTATAAGGTCTTGGCACTTTGTTTTTCCGTGTACTCAACTTCACAACCTTTTTGCATCTTTTTTCCTAGGGAACTTTTGAATTTGAGTTGCTTTTAGAGCCAAATGCAATAACTAGTGGCAATTTTAAGAAGTTCTTTTCTACTGTTGATTAGAGACTTAGTAAAACTATTCCAGTCTGAGAGTACATAAATTGACAGCCAGATACATGTAATCAATTCGCGAATAATTGTCTTTAGCGGAGGCGGAGCTAGCTATCAGGTGCGGATTCCGCCGAGCCCAGTCACTTTTGCTTTTACACTGTATTTATATTAGGAAACTCATTAAATATGTACAAATAGTTAATTGTGAACCCAGTAACTAAAACGAACTATGGATTTTGTGGCAAATTCAGAACCCATAAACTTCAAATTGTGGCTCATCTCTGGTCTTTAGTACTTTTTTCCACTATGTATGATACTCCTCCAAATTTGTTTTTTCCTAACTCTCTTTTTATATTTTCAATGAGGTTAAGCAGTTATACCTATATATGCAAATAAATGTATCGTTCTTGATACATGCTTAGGCATCCTCGATATAAGGTGTCTGCACACATTGAGTTAAAGCTTGGAGATGACTCCATGAAGTTCTCCATTGCAATGTTTTGCAGATTTCTTGCTGACACTTTGCATGTATGAAAGAGAAGTTCTGCTCCTTAACCACCAATCTTATGCTATGTTAATGTCAAATGTAAAGGTAGGTTGATGCTTGTATCAGGGTAGGTTACCCTACATAACACCCTGTTGGGTGCTGCCCTTTCCCGGGCACTGTGTAAGCGCGGGATGTTTCGTGCAATGGGCTGCCCCTTTTTTTTAAATGTCAAATGTAAGGGTCAGGGAGGTTGAAAAAAGAGATTCACTACAGTTTTTCCATTTAGGAGTTGATATGCAACTTGCACCATGAGATGAAACATATCAACCTCACTGTTTGATGATTTTTCAGTCAGAAGGTTATTTCTTCAGATCCTTGCACTTAATCAAGATGAAGGCTCTGGTTTCTTTTTCCTCTGTTCTCCTTTTAAAGCAATCCTTGTAACTTCTCTTACTAAGATCAAGGCTCTTGTTTCTTTTTCCTCTCTTCCCCTTTTTGAAGCAATCCTTGTAATTTCTTAAACAACGATCAAGGCTATTTTCTTTCCTTTTTCTCATCTTCTTCCCTTTTTAAAGAGTCTTTGTATTCGGAATGGGGTGATAGAATATAGTCTAGAGGACTAATGAAAGAGAAGCTGCTGTACTTTGATAATCTATTGGGTGCTCTGGTGATCCCAGATGCAAAATCTGTTTTTATCTAATTCTTCTTGCATGAGAACCTGAATCTGATTCTGATAATCCTAGTATTGATCACTAAAAAAGAAAAAGAGAAGATAGTGCTAGTGTTCATCACTGGCGTTGCATTCTTATTTTGTTATTTCAGCAAAACTTGTTACTGGAGACATCTTAAGCTGTTATTTTGCCCCTCAACAGAAAAATTTGAAGTAAATATAATCAGAAAAGTTATATAATGTGAGAAAAGGGAGAGATATTAAGAAGAATCGAAAATGGGATTTAGGGAGAAAACTGGAAGAGCTGGAAGGTTGACCAACTCAGGATAAATCATTTAAATTTAGGTACGACTATCTTAATCTTTTAGTTTATTTTTGTGCAAGCAGTTACGGGGTTTTATGGGGAAAAGAAAGTGCAGGGTCTTAAAGAATTACACCAAATTGTACCCTGCTGTCCATTATCTTGTATGGACGTATATATCAAATTCTAGAGATTCATATATTCCTTTTTAAGCCTAGCTTTAAAATGAAATTTGTACATGAACTTTATATTTGTAGTCTGAATAAGATGAGTTAGGAGGTGCTTTCAGTTGATTGATTGTATCCTTGTCATCTCTTGGTAACATATTCTTTCTGAACGTGGGTTCACCTTTGATCACTTTTCATAATATTTCCGTGCAGATTATGGAGAACCTCATACCAGTCGTAGAGAAACGAAGACCACCAAGAGTTCTGCGGAGAGTTCGATCTATGAGCTGGTAGGTCGTCTTAAATGATCCAAAACCAATTGATGTCAGAATCAATGATTGTACTGCTACAGGAGCTGCAGGAAAGTTGGAGGAAGAGGTTTTTCTGATTACCAGAAGAGTTTAGGCCGTACATAGTCTGCAGTTAACTTTTTAGGTGACAGAACTGCTAAGAGCCCATCTCCAAACCGAAGATGACGAAAGCTGCAAAGTTCTTTCTTGAATGTCTTGTGCATGAATGAGATTTATGTAAGCATTAGGCTTATGCTTGGCTAGCTTTTTATAGTTTGTTGACGTAGTAGGAGAAGAATATACTGTACTTTAGCTTCCGCAGGCATATCATGCTGGTTGCAGGGAAGATTGATGAACGTGGACTTTGTTTATACTAACTGATGTTGCAGTAGTTTCTGTTTTTTGGAATAAGAATTGGTCTTATGAGTATTATGTGCCAAGTTTTTAAGTTCTGTTGTACTTTCACTGGATTAGCGACGATGGATTTAGGCATTGAATGAAAAGCCCTTCTTCTCTGTGTCTTTCAGTTGATGAAATGGTGGTGGTTAACTGATTATATAGATTGAGAATTTGTTGGTGGAAAGAAGTGCATATGCCCTCTTTTCTCACCCCAACTGAGAGGGATTGAAAGTTCACAGAGGGGTAATCAGTAATCACAAATGAGGGAAATGATGTTTACCTCTCTGCTTCTACTTTCACTACTCCAACCTGCCCTTTTTAGTCCTACAAAACCCACCTTGTTGGTAGACTTCTGGAGAAAAGGCAGCGCTAGAGTGATAGGCTTCTGGGCTTAGCAAATACCGACGGGGAAATGACACTGTATAGCTGCTTTCAAAATAATAGTCGAAAAATTATATATATA